TTCTGTATGCTAGGCATTTTCATTATAATGTACCTTGGTGTGGATCTGTTGTAATTTTGTACATTTGGGGTCTTGTAAGCCTCTTGTGTTTAATTTTCCATTTCATTCTTTAGGTCTGGGAAATTTTCTGATATTATTTCATTGAAAATATTGTGCATTCCTTTGTTGTGTATCTCTGTGCCTTCATCTATCGTAATAAACCTCAAATTTGGTCTTGTCGTGTTGTCACATATTTCTTGGAAGTTCTGTTCATGGTTTCTTACCACCTCTGCATGGTCAACTTCATTTTCAGTATTATGTATTTTGTCTTCATTGCCTCTGGTTCTGTCTTCCAAATGGTCTAGTCTGTTGATGATGCTTTCCATTGAATTTTTAATTAGGTTTATTGATTCCTTTATTTATAGGATTTCTGCTTGATTTCTTTTCAGAATCTCTCTTTATTGAAGTGATATTATACCTTCTGAAATTTATCTCTGATTTTACTACTTACATCATCCTTTACATTGTATATTCTGAACTCCTTCTTTGACATTCCAACCTTCCTACCCACTGTAGTCAGCCCTGTCATTCCCCGCAAGCTTCAGGATTCACAGAGCTGGAGAAAGTCCAGCTCTCTCTAGCCTCTCTAACCTGTGTTCCCTTGGGAGAAATGCTCACAGTTTCTGACTTTCTGTTGGATTGCTAGGCTCAGACAAGCCCACACAGACCTAGCTGCAAACTCATGGATTAGGGCTTTCAGGTTCCCTTGCCTCCATTGTGTTGCAGTACCAAGATGTCCCCTGGATCATGGATGATTGATAAATTCTGGTGGAGAGGTGTGTCCAATCTGGTGAACCTGCATTCCCCTCTTACCCTCATCTCCACCTATTGTGAGCCAGCATCTACACATGAGACAGAACATTTGGCCTTTGGTTTTTTGGAATTGGCTTATTTCACTTAGCATGACAGTCTCCAGTTCCACCCATTTACTGGCAGATGCCATTATTTCATTCTTCTTTATGGCCGAGTAATATTCCATTGTGTATATGTACCACATTTTCTGTATCCATTCATCTGTTGAAGGGTACCTAGGTTGGTTCCATTGCTTCACTATTGTGAATTGAGCTACTATGAACATCATTGTGGCCTCCTCACAATTGTGTGCTGATTTTAAGTCCTTTGGATATAAATAGAGGAGTGGGATAACTGGGTCAAATGGTAGTTCCATTCCAAGTGTTTTGAGGAATCTCCATAATGCTTTCCAGAGTGGTCACCAATTTGCAGTTCCATCATCAATGTATCTTTTCCCCCACTTCCTCACTGTTTTATTTAGCTATTTTGCTGTTGCAACTAAAAGATCTAACCATACAATTTAGGAAGAAATGTATTTTTGAGGGCTCACAGTTTTAGAAGTCTTAGTCCGTAGAAGGTTGGTTCCTGTCCTCAGGGCTCAATGTAAGGCCAACTTTTATGGCAGAAAAGTGTAGCAGAGGGAATCAGCTCACTTATTGGTGAGGAAGCAGAGAGAGAAACTCCACTCACCAGATACCAAATATATACCCCATAGCCATATCTGCAACGAACCACTTTCTCCAGCTGCACCACCTACTTCCAGTTACCACTCAGTTAATTGCATCAGAGATTATTTCACTGATTAGTTTAATGCTAAAGCTCAATAATTTCTCCTACAAACCTTCTTGCATTGTCTTACACGTGAACTTTGCAGGGACACCACATCTAAACTATAACATTCCACCACTGGCCCTCAAAAGCTCACAACCAGCTCTCAATGCAAAACACATTTTCTCTATTTCCAAGAGTCCCCATAGTATTAGTAGTTCCAAGATTGCTCAAAGCTCAAATCCAAAGTCTTCCCTCAGGCTCAAGGCAATCTCAAATTGTAAGCTCCTGCAAAATTAAAAGCAATCTACATGTATTCAATATATAATGGTTGAGTAAACATTTTCATTCACAAAATTAGGGGCATAGAAAGAATGGATTGATCAAAGCAAGACCAACATTCAATTGGATAAACAAGTCTTGAAATTCCATGTTTGGCATCTGGGGCACATGGCATCATGATGTTCTTTCCAGTGGGCTTATGTAGCTCCATCCCTGTGGCATTGTTGGTGGCAGCCCAAGTGACCTTTCTGTTGGCTCATCTCTGCTCCATTCTCTGTTTTCACTAAGCATTTCCATGTGAGCAAGACATGAGCTTTGGTTTTATAACCATTTAAATTTTAAAAAATATTTAAGATATTTTGCTAGAGAATTTATAATCACAGGGAAAACTGTTTAAGCATTAAAATATTTATATAGTTAATGTGCTATAAAATCAATTTAATTGCTTAATTATGAACTTGCATTTAAAGCTTTTTGAAAGCAGAGAGTAATAAAAATTCTCTGAATGTAAAGGTCAAATCTGTACTGTTTGTATTCCTTCTAGGTTAGAACATGAGACTTATTTTAACATGATTTGATATTTCATGTAGTAAACATTAGACAAGTACTTTAAAATATTTTATTTCTTGGTAAAAAAAGTCAAGTCCATTACCTAGAAAATTCAGTAATGGTTCTTATTTTTTAATGTAAATTAAAATAATATTTTTTTCAACTCTACTATAAATAATTGCTGTTTTAGACTAGCATTTATATATGAGCTCCTGTTTGCTTTTAATATGTTTAAAATGCACCTGAGAATTAAGTAGACTTCCTGTGTTCTTCCGCTCTTAGGGATACATGGTTTGAAAATTAGTTTAGTGGATCTGTGAAAGGACATGTATTCTCTAACAGGTACTCTGTCCTTCTGAGCTCTGTTTTTAGTCTTATTCATGAGTAATATATATATGAGGAACTGCAGAGATCCTGATACTTCAGAATTCTAGCATTGAAAACATTTTGTCATTTTGTTATAAAATTTGCTCTTTCTTTTGCATTAGGAGAGTAGTTAACTTTGAGATTTATTCTGCTTTTCATTCTTTGTGGAGGGGAATTTATCTCATTGGTTATACTCCATTGTTTTTGTGTTACATAAATTCTAAAAATTTTTTAGTCTTCTTCCTTTTTAATTTTTTTTTTTTAGTTGTAGGCAGACACGATACCTTTGTTCATTTATTTGTTTATTTGTTTTTGTGTGGTGCTGAGGATCAAACCCAGTGCCTCATACATGCAAGGCATACACTTTACCAACTGAGCTACAACCCCAGTCCTTAGTCTTCTTTCATTCTTGTAAGCAAATATTTACTAGAGTTTCTGTTTTGTACCAGGCCGTGTACTAGGACGGACATTCTATTTTGTGGTTCTGGGGACTGAACCTAGGACCTTACTCATGTCAGGCAAGTGCTATACCTCTGAGCTACGTGCCCAACCCTGAGGTTATACTCCTGAAGGCCAGGACAAGCATTGAATAGAGGAACCACAAATGAATTTGAAATTTCAAATTATTGAGTGGGATGAACTCTTGGTGCACTTAGCCTTCTCAGGGAAAAGAGCACCTCTTTAATTATACCAGGAGGGAAGAAGGACATCATTTAAGCTTGGAAACAAGTGATTTTGTTGTTATCAGAAGCAGATGTAATTTCTTAGATTTCTTAAAAACTAGTGTTCATTTACTTATATTTTTGATAAAAAAGACTTCTCATTTGTATGCTTTCCTACATACCTTTAGAGTCCATACCTAATTTTAACATGTAATAAGTTATTACTTATATACAATTCCCTTGCATCTGGAATCAGTGTTTGTAGGTAGTAATTGAAATGAGTTTAACTTATTTTGCCATTATTTAATTATGGTAATTATGTTACAGTAATTAGATTTCAAGTCTATTTATTAGGAGGACTCATTTTTAGAAGTTTCTTTTATATAAAACTTTTTGATAGTTTCATTACCTCACATGTATGGTAATCACATTAAATATTTTATACAGTTCTTTCCCTCTAAGAAAACAGTAGGTCCAGGGAATTCTTGCTTTGACAATCTTAAATATATCTCAAAAATATTGAGTTACGCATTGGGTATTCACATATGAATTTGACCTACAAAAATTCACATGGGAAACAAATATTTTATGGAACTGATGTAAGTACTATTACAGTAAGTTATAAATTGAGCTTTAAAAGTAAATGCTTAGGGGGCTGGATTTGTGGTTCAGTGGTAGAGTGTGTGCCGCCATGTGTGAGGCCCTGGGTTTGATCCTTATCATTATATGTAAATAAAATTATATTATTTTATATAATATAATTTTATTATATATTATATTTTATTTTATTTTATATTATATTTTATTTTAATATATGTAAATATATTATATGTAAATATATATTACATTATATGTAAATAAATGAAAAAAGATCCATTGACAACTAAAAAATACATATATAAAAAGGTCAATGCTTAAGAGGAATATACTGAGTCATTTAGCCATATGCACAAGATAATTTCTACTGTCTTGCTTTCTTCAGTAGATTTCTAGAAGCTCCCATTGTGGCATTATTCATTTTGATGATTTTATTTGTTTATTTAGTTAGCTAAGAGTGATGGGGTTGAATTGAGGGTCTCATGAATGGTAGGCAAGTGCTGAACCACTGAACTATTTCCCTCAGCCCATTTTGGTTATTTTAGATTCATGTGGTATTCATTCAGTTGTATTTAAATTATCTTGAACCTCAGGATTCTTTAGAAAGCCGAATTATTTCTGAGAATTTTATTTACTAAAACTATTTAGTCTATCATGCAATTGCAGTAGTAGCTATTCTGAGTACATTGTTAATAAGTGGGCACAAGACTGTCAATTAGATTAAATTAAAAAAACTTATTTTTTAATTTCAAAAGAAATAATACTTACAATAAAAAAGTTATAATATAGAAGGTGCTATCCATTTCCACTTTCCAGAAGTAACAGAAATTGATGGTCAGTTCTTCCTGTTCCTATAGGATAGGGGGTAAGGTGACGGGATGGTTGTAATTGACTGTAGGTTGTTTTGTTCAAATTAGTTTTTTTTTTTTTTGTTGTTCTTAACAGGTTTCTGCTTTGGGTCTGGATCCCTCAGGTGCCCGTTTGGTGACTGGAGGATATGACTACGATGTTAAATTTTGGGACTTTGCTGGAATGGATGCTTCTTTTAAGGCATTTCGATCCCTTCAGCCCTGTGAATGGTATGGATTTGCTTACTTAGTATGTTCATGTTTGACTTAATATTTGGAGATAGTGCTGTTGTCATCTGAATTTCATTTTTAATGATTTCTACCAAAATATAACTATGTACTGCTATCATTTAGACTGCTATCATTATTCATATGCAAATAAAATGTACCCCAAATTTTCTTCCTTTAGTTTTATTAACCTATGTTTTAAAGGCATTTTCTGTCTTTTGTTGTTTTTTAAAAATTGTACCTTGTCTTGTTAATTTAAAAACTCTAGTAAATATTTTGCAATATGTTTTTTTTAAAATTTTTTTTAGTTTTTGATGGACCTTTATTTTTTATTTATTTATATGTGGTATTGAGAATTGAACCCAGTGCCTCACACATGCTAGGAAAGCACTCTACCACTGAGCCATGACTCCAGCGCCAAGTAGTTCAATTATTAATGACAAGAAATTAAGATTGATTCCTAGATTAAGTTTATAACATTTGATTCCTTCATTGTAAAGTGAATTTTTTGTTCTTGAGTTAGGCAAATACTTTGTGGAGTAATACTTGGTACTATGTAAATATCCAGATAACTTCTCATCCTTTCACTTAAATTAGCTTATCATATTGATGATTCCTGAATCAGTTATTTCATGAAAGGTTGCAAATTGGTGATGTTCTAATTGTAATTTCATGTACATTTATTTACTGATATTCTTCTGAAAGAAGAGCTTTTTTCATTGACTGATATTATTGGTCATCCGTTGATATTGAGTTACCCAGCACTGCTATCCAGTAGAACTTCCTGTGCTGAACAAAGTACTTTATTTATTTATTTTTTATTGGTTGTTCAAAACATTATAAAGCTCATGATATATCATCTTTCATACATTTGACTCAATTGGGTTATGAACTCCCATTTTTACCCCAAATACAAATTGCAGAATCACATGGGTTACACACTCTCATTTTTACATAATGGCATATTAGTGACTGTTGTATTCTGCTAACTTTCCTATCCCCTACTATCCCCCCTCCCCTCTCCTCCCATCTTCCCTCTCTACCTCCCCTGCTGTTGTTCAATTCTCTACCTTGTTTACCTCCCCCTTTCCCCTCACAACCTCTTATATGTAATTTTGTGTAACATTGAGGGTCTCCTACCATTTCCATATGCTTTCCCTTCTCTCTCCCTTTCTCTCCCCCCACTCATCGTTGTTTAATATTAATCTTTTCCTCATGCTCTTCTTCCCTGTTCTGTTCTTAGTTGCTCTCTTTATATCAAAGAAGACATTTGGCATTTGTTTTTTAAGGATTGGCTAGCTTCGCTTAGCATAATCTGCTCTAATGCCATCCATTTCCCTGCAAATTCTATGATTTTGTCATTTTTTAGTGCTGCATAATACTCCATTGTTGAACAAAGTACTTTATATCCTTACCATCCATTATGGTAGTCACTAGTTGCACACATGGCTACTGAATACTTCAATGAAATGATTTTTTAAAAAAATTTAATTTTAAATAGTTAAAATTTAAATACATTTGGTCAAGTAGCTGTGGTGTTTTAAATGGCCAAATTCAGCACAAACTATCATGGGTAACATGTTGCCTTTAAACTTGAAAATATATCATTTAAAGTCAAAACCAGGAAAACTACCACCACAGAGCCACAAACTTGAATGCATTTTTTTTAATATTTATTTTTTAGTTTTAGGTGGACACAATATCTTTATTTTACATTTATGTGGTGCTAAGGATTGAACCCAGTGCCTCATGCATTTTAGATGAGCATTCTACCACTGAGCCACAACCCCAGCCCTTGAATGCATCTTTTTAAATAAAAAAGTAAAATGTTGTAGTGCATTGTATATATTTATATGTTTTTATTTGATTTCTTTGTCTTTTTTTTTTGTTGGATCATTATTCCAGCTTCTGATTCTAGGACTCAACATATTAAAGATCAATCCTTGTTTTATACCAATTGAAAATTTGATGAATGTAAAATAAATTCTCATTCAATTAATAACCTGTTGAATATGGCAGTTAGACATTGATATGTATAGCTCGATTTTGATGTATTTTCATTTTTGGTATTTTTGAAATCTCTGGAATAATTTGTTTTAGACCTTTGTCCAGCATTAGTACTAGATTTGTAGATTTCTAGTTTTTAGTTTTCTATTGTCCCATTTGGTGAGAATCAGTACTGTTTTCTCTAATCCAGTCTAGTCACTTACCTTTCAATTTCCTTGTTTCCTTACAGCTTTTCAATAGTAGACCCATAATTAGATATATAGGTTCAAGATTCATAATCCTAAGTTTACAGACCTTTTATAAATGGAATACAATTTTTATATAATATTAATAATTTTTAATTACTTAAGGTAGTTCAAGTTATGAATTTCTTATCTCGGGCCAATGTAAAATGTCTGTATACTCTTTTTCCATCTTTAAAAACTGTTAACTAATCAAGCAATACTTAAATATGTTCTCATATAGAAATTAAAACTACAACTTTCCCTTGACCATCTTCATTTTAATCTGCTTCTCAGTTTTCATCACTGTTTCATTATGTGTATTTGAAGTTGTTTTTCATGCTGTCATCAAAAGATATACGTACCTGTCAAAAAAATGGTGTATTTTGTATTTGTTTTAAAAAAATGGTAACAGATGATTATTATTCCAAAATGTTTTCCCCACTTAATATTGCTTAGTGTTATTTAATATTAGTACATACATACTTTTTAAGTGCTGCACAGCATACTATATAAAACTTAGTTCAGTGATTTTTGAAATCAGAACCATCTGGAGAAGTTGTCAAAATATTATCTACAGGACCCCACCTTTAGAGTTTCTACATCTTTAGATCTGAGTATTATCTGACAATTTGCAAGACTTCTCAAGTGCTGTTGATACACCTGGCCTGAGGGTCATACTTTGAGAACCTTTGCATTGTTTAGTTATTCTTTCATTGATGAGCTATAGGAGTTATGGCTGCTTTTTTGTACTTCACTGGTCACATATGTAAATTGAGTGTTTCTCAAAAGCAGATTGCAAGAAGTGAAATACCTATTGTGCACTGTTAAATTTTTTTTATTGATCTTTATAATTATACATTTTTATCAATACATTATAATTATACACAGTAGTTACACAGTTGTACATGTACATAACAATTTGGTTGATTTCATTCACCAAGACCTCCCTTTTTTTTCACTTTCTCTCTCTACCTGGTACCCTTCCTCTCCTGGGCTCCTACATTTTCTTCCTTTCTGCTCTCTAACTTCCACCTATGAGAGAAAAACATATGACCCTTCACTCTTCAAATCTGGCTTATTTCTCTTAATATAATGCTCTCAAGTTCTATCCATTTTCCAGCAAATGACATAATTTCATTCTTTATGCTGAATAAGACTCCATTTGTATATATATTACATATTTTTTTTTATCTATTTTAGGCTGGTTTCATAATTTGGCTGTTGTGAATTCTGTGCTATAAACATGCGTGTACATGTATTGCTATAGTATGCTGACTTTAGTTATTTTTCCTTTATATATTCTTTTATTGGTGCATTATAATTGTAAATAATACTGGGATTGATTGTTCCATATTGGTAAATGCACATAACATAATTAGTCCAATTTCATTTCCATTACTTCAGCTCCTTCTACTCCCAGCCCCCTTCTTTTACTCTGTTGGTCTCCTGTCTATTTTCATGAGATTCCCTTCCCTTCTTTCCCCACTTTTTTATCTCTAACTTCCACATATGAGAGAAAATATAGTACCTTTTGCTTTCTGAGTCTGACTTATTTTGCTTAACATAATGCTCTCAAGTTCCATCCATTTTCCAGCAATTGACAACTTTGTGCTTATTTGTGACTATAAGTCTCGATTGTGTATATAAACCACATTTTCGTTGTCCATTCATCTGTTGATAGACACCTAGGTGTTTCATAATTTGGCTATTGTGAATTGTGCTACTATAGACATAGAAATGGATATACATATATTGCCATAGTATGCTGAATATGGATAAATACCAAGGAGTAGTGTTGCTGGGTCATATAGTGGTTCCATTTCTAGTTCTTTGAGGAATGAACATACTGATTTTCCATATTGGTTATACTAATTCACAATCCCACCAATACTATGTGTTCCTTTTTCCTTACATCCTTGCTAGCATTTGTTATTTTTTCTTGATGACCGACATTCTAATTGAAGTGAAAGGAAATCTTAGTATAGTTTTGATTTGCATTTCCCTGATGGCTGGGGATGTTGAAAATTTTTAATATATTTGTTGGCTATTTGTACTTCTACTTTTGAGAAGTGTATGTATAGTTTATTGCACATGTGTGTTTTTATCATAGTATTTTGAGTTATTTATATTTTCTGGATATTAATCCTTTTTCAAAAGAGTAACTGAAAATGATTTTCTCCCACTCTATAGACTCTTGTTCATACTTTTGTTTCCTTAGCTGTGCAGAATCTGTCCCATTTATTAATTCTTTGTGTTATTCCTTAGCTTTAGGAGTCCTATGGAGGAAGTTGAAATGTTGAACGATGACCCTGTTTTTTGTCTTCTCCTAGCAGTTGCAGAGTTTTAGTTCTAATTCCCAGGTCTTTAATCAATTTTGAATTGATTTTTGTGCAGGGTGAGAGAAAGGGATTTATTTTCTATCTTCTACATATGGATATCAAGTTTTGTCAGCATCATTTGTTAAAAAGTCTGTTTTTTACTCCTGCATATATTTTTTTGCAATTTGTCAAGGATCAGATGATTCTCTTTGTCTACTTTTATTTCATTGCTCTGTGTATCTGTTTTTATGCTAGTACCATGCTGGCATAAAATTAGTATTATGATGCTGCCAGCATTTTTTTTCCTTCTTAGAATTGCTTTGGCTGTTTTGGGTCTTTTATTCTTCCAAACAAATTTTAGGACTTCTTCTTTTTTTTTTTTTTTAGTTTTGCGAAGAATGTCATGTGATGGGGATTGCATTGAATCTGTGTATTGCTTTTGGTGATATGGCCA